CCCGCCGAACCTCCTGCTGCAGCCTCTTGAACAGCTTCTTAGAGGCCCTCCTCCGGTGCAGCTTGCGCAGGCAGTTGAGCATGCCGTGGTCCAGGGCGGTCTGGCGGGGCAGGAGGAGAGCGACTCAGGGTACATCTAGACAACGCTCTTTTCTCGCAAGGAGATATGCAAATTCGGCGCTAATTTGCATATCGTCTCCCGATCTCTTTTTCGAAAGCGGTTCTTTCGAAAGTGAACGCAGTTGAGACGGTTTTTTTCCTCCGAAAGAACCCCCCGTTTTGAAAGAACCCTTCTTCCTTAAAAAACAAGGTGTACAGGGTTCAATCGAAAAAGGGGGGGTTCAATTAAAAAAACCCTGGAAAAACATTTTTTTCGAAAAAGCGATCAGAAGAAGATATGCAAATTAGTTCCAAATGTGCATATCTCCTTTCGAAAAAAGAATGTAGTTTAGATGTACCCTCAGGCTCCTGGCAGGGGACATAGGGAAAATGGGGGAGCAGTGCCCCACTCCCTTCCCAACACCCCCCTGCAGCCCAGTGGAGGGCAAGGGCCCTTCGGCCGCCTGGGTACAGGCCAGGAGGAGACCTGGATCAGGATTACGCTGGGGGGTAAATCAGAAGGGCCCAGCTTGGGATCCCCAATTCTGCAGGATCACCCGGCTGATACGCTTGGTGGCATTGATTGGTGCTGGGAGCGATGCCCGGCACCCATTGGGCACATCGGCTCATGGGGAGTACGAGCGAGGGGGACTCTGGCCCTCCCCCCGAATTCACCGCCCGAGCGCCCAGCCCCCATGCCCGCCCCTCCTACCTCCAGCATGAAGGCTGTGAAGAAGTTGAGGGTGGCCATGCCCAGAAGCAGCAGCTTGAAGCTCATGTCGCTGATGTCTTTCAGCATCAACACGGCTCTCAGGAAGCCCAGCGGGTAAAGCGTTAGCGCCATCATCAGGCCGAAGAGAGCCACGAGGACAAGCAGGAACGGCACTGGGGGGGGAGGGGGGGAAAGGCACCGTCAGAGGGCCCGGACATGCCCCCCCCCCCACCACAAGAGGCTCGTTACAGGAGCCAAAGGACCACAGACCGCTCCGCCACAGACCCACACGGAGGTGGGCGGGCTGGCTCACCGTTGGTGTACAGAGGCTCCCGGAAGGGGTATCCCTTGGACATGGCGACGGCGAGGATCAGGTACTGGAAGCCTGAGACGCAGAACACCACGGTGTTCTCGTAGTTGGGCAGGTTCTGCGGGGCGGTCACCGTGCTGTTCAAAGGGACGTACCTGGATGGGAAGAAGGGGAGAGGCAGGGGTCAGGCATGAGACAGCAGGCCCTGCCTACAACGTGCAGCTACCTTGACTGGGGCTGCAGAGCACAGGCGTAGGAGCTCGGGATGTGGCGGGGGCTGCAGCAACTTTGGTTTTAGCCGGGGCTTCACCCCCAGCCCCAGGGTCCTGGCTGCCGGCCCAATAGCTCCACTCCTGGTCCTGTGCCACCCCCCGCTATTAGAAGCAGCATTTGGCTTCCAGATGTGGGTTAGTGGACAAACATGAGCACAGGCTGAACCTGCCTTCTCCAGCATCCTACGGATCAGAGCGGGAGGCCCATGCCTGCCCCTCTGCCTCCCTGGGGCTCCACTGCTGCTCCCTCCCAAGACACTACGGTTCCATAGCTCCTGCCTTTGGGCCTCCCCAGGGCTCAGATGCTCCAGAAGTCTGGGGCATCAGCCTCCCCCCCCACCAGAGCCCCACTGCGCTGGCCTGTAGGCCCACCAGGGCGCAAGGGCTCCGTTCTTCCCTACTCCAGCCACGCTCCTGGCCCCAGCTGGCTGGTTTTCCCCCATGAGCGCTCCAGCCCTAGAGCACCCCCAGGATCACCGATGAGGCTGGACCAGAGGTGTTGCTGGACTAGGGAAGTCCAGATGACGGATTCATCCTGTACGAATCCCCATGCTTCAGGGCGCGACTCATTTGATAGGGGGTAGGAAGGAACTTCCTCTCGGGGCAGGTTGCTTACAAACCGCCTCCAGCAGCCTGCTGGCACAGATATAGATGGTGCTGGCCAGGGTGGAGGCAGGATACCAGGCTGGATGCCTGCAGATCTGACCTTCCCTGAGGCCAAAATAAGGTTTTGGGCCACCGGGGGCTCCCCCCTTTTAGCTGCTCTATCAGGTTCCCAGGCAGCCACTTGCCAGCTCTGCGAGACGGTGATGAAGTAGCTCATGAGCTGAACCGTGATCAGCAGAGCGGTCTGGAGGAGGAGGCTGCCGAGGACAATAATACTGATCAGTGTCCCTTGGGGGCGCTTGGTGCCCAGTTCCTTGGCGGGTCCGGTCTTGCCCATCAGCACAGCCACGGTCGTAGTGATGATCAGGTCGAAGAAGAGGAACTGAAAGTCACTCAGGTTGGTGTTAATCTGGGTGCAGGCAGGAAAGAAGGAGAAAGGGAAGGTAACATCAGGAGCAGACGGGGAGGGCTCGGGGGACTGGACAGGGGGCTGCAGAAGCTGCCTCTCCAGGTGATTGGTTCAAATCCAGCAGACATAGCAAGGCACTGCAGCACGACCCTGTCAACTGAGCTCCTTTCACCAGAGCAAACTCTGCCAGGGCCGGGAATCCGTGGGAGGAAAGACCCGAGCTCACAACACTACAACAAATCGGTGTCCGCTGTGCTGGAGCCCTCAGAGTGGCCTGGGCACTGCAGGGAGACAGCTCAGTTATGGAAAAAACACAGGCCCTGACTACAGAAGGTCACAGAGAATCCCCGTTTGTTTTGGCAGTAAAGGGGGCTAGGACACACAGTTCCAGTTCCAGCAGACACATAGGTTTGCTAGATCCTTTCAACAAAAATCCTGAACATGGCAAACTTGGCTGAGAAGAGAAGAGAGAGAGAGAAAAAAGGGGGAGACCAAAGTTGTTGAGCCAAAAAAAAAAAAAAAAAAATCGCTGCGCCTTTAAATGGCCCTGCCGTCCTCACTCCTCTGCCCCTGCTAGACATGGCAGGGGAAAACTGTCCCTGCTGGGCTTCTATCCGAGGGAAACAAGAAACACTGGACTTTTCACATGTCCAGTATTTTCTGTTTTTTTTACTGGACGGGGGACACAAATACTGAACTGTCCGGGTGAAAACCGGACACCTGGCAACCCTACAGACACATTATGGTGTCTACTGTTTTGTCCTTCAGATTTACAAACACCAGTGCAGAGCCAGACGCTGTCCGGCATCACAGGACGCTCCCCTCCCCAACGCTCCATCGCCCCCTCTGACACGCACACACTTCCCTCCCCTCATTCACCTCAACAGCCCCCCACTTTCACCAAGCGCCAGGGCTGCAGCCGAGGCCTGGACGAGCTCTCCTCCGAAGCCGCCCCTCTCCCGGCACGGAGGGCTCTTGGCGACACCAGGCCGTAAGGGAGCTCAGTGTTCTGCCGCCTGCAGGGCTTCTGGCAGGGCTGCTGGCAGGGCAGCTTTCTGCTCTGGTGAAAGGTGCTCAACTCAGTCTCCGAGATCCTGGGCCTCCGTTCATACAAGGCTGCCCTCTCCAGACAGCCTGCAGGCACTCGCCTGCCCCGACTGGCCACACAAACAGCTTTCAAGGCCCCAGAGAGTTCAGTCTCCATGGCCCAGTTGACCCTCAGCCTGCACGTCTCAAGCGGCCAGCTCCGTCGCCTCGCTCGCCCGGCCAGGGACTGCGAGACGGTGGCAAGCAAGGGGCCCACATGGAATTCCAACTGGGGGGGTTTAAAGGTGGAGGCTGCAGCATCGTCTTACAGCTTCCCAGACCCCTCCAGTCCCTCTCGCTCCACTGACCCAGCCAGGAGTCTCCCGGAAACACTCACCGTGTAGAGCAGAAGCACGGAGACGAATTGCACCAGGCTGTACAGGGCCATGTACTTAAAAACCCCAAAGGAGGTGACCAGAGAACATCGGCCTTCCCTGCAAGAGACCAGGAAGCCTTGAGACACCTGCCATTTGTGGGCACGGGGGCCAGGCCGTGCAAGGGGGAGGGGTTTATGAATCAACGGGGCGCCATTTTGGAGGAGGGAGGAAGACCAGGTGCCTCATGGGCAAAGCAGCCTCAATGGTTCAGGAGCCTTAAAATACATAGCAAGGGGCAAAGGGATGGGCGGGGGGGACTCCAACTCATGACACTGCTGGTGACCGCAGCTTGGCAGCCAACCTAATGCCAAGAGAGGCTAGGGCCCGGGCCTAGCGCAGGTCATGGATTCTCCCGGCAGGGTGACGTGCAGAGAGGGCAAGGGGTGAAGATAGGAGGGACTGGGGAGTCACAGGCCACAGCCGCTAAAATACAAGCTCTGAGAGTCTCAGAATATTGTTCATGAATTAATCCCCACATTCCCCACACACCTAGCATGATTCTCTGTCCCATGCAGTGGCACTGAGACCACAGCACCAGATAACAACAAGAGACCTCTACAGCCCAGGCTGAGAGCTAGCTGGCTTTATAGCTCATGCTGTAGAGGCTCCTCGACTAAGCTCCAGAGGTCCCAGGTTCTAATCTGCCCAGTGGTGGTTACACAGCCACAACGTGGCCTCAGGACTGTTTTGCCACCCCCTTGCCGTGGTCACATCCCCGCTCCTGCCACGCAGGTCCATGGTGGCCAGAGCCCACCTGATGAGCGTGGGCACACACTCGATGGTGGCGACTGTGGAGGTGAATGGGGAAGCCACAGAGGCCTCTGCCTCGGAGAGCGAGATCCCCACGTCGGCTGCCTTCAGCGCCCCGCAGTCGTTGGCCCCATCTCCGCACATGCCCACGCAATAGCTGCAGCAAGAGACACGCAGGCGCTCACAATATAAGCCAAAGGGTTCCCCCTCATCCTGGCCCAAACAGCTCCCTGGAGCCAGGGGCGGAGAACATTGGGCATTGCATGTTAAAACAACATCACAATCCCCTGCTAACAGGTGCAAAGCCCCAGCGCCCCGCAGTCGTTGGCCCCATCTCCGCACATGCCCACGCAATAGCTGCAGCAAGAGACACGCAGGCGCTCACAATATAAGCCAAAGGGTTCCCCCTCATCCTGGCCCAAACAGCTCCCTGGAGCCAGGGGCGGAGAACATTGGGCATTGCATGTTAAAACAACATCACAATCCCCTGCTAACAGGTGCAAAGCCCTTCATAGCACTCACCACGGGGGGGAGAGAGGCTAGAATGATCATCAACCCCATTGGAGGGCGAGGGAAATGGAGGCACAGAGAGGAGGGATCACGTTGTAGCCGAGTCAGGAGCAGGATGCAGGTGTCCGACTCCCCGCCCCGCCCCATTTGATTACAAAACATTTCTTGCCACAAAGAGTCATTCCATGAAGACTGATTCAAAACCCCTCAGCGGAGGGCAGAGTTGCAAGGTGTTCGAATGACCACATGGTTATCTGCTCGCGGCAGTGACCTAGTGCAGTGGTCCCCAACCTTTCGGGGCCGCCGGGCGCCCAGGGGCGGGGCCGCCCATGCGCCTTGCGCCC